GTCTTGTTTACATAACACTGGAGGGAAGAAGGGCTTTTCACATCTGCCATATGGCAGTTCCTTGGGATTTAAAGGTATACCTGCCAAATGGCAGAGGTCTGGTAGTTCTCTTAGAGCTGGCAAATAAGAGTGCTTCACCTCCTTTCAAAGTCAGGAAGTTTGAACCAGGCTTGCTCTAATTTCGCCACCACCTTTCCCTATAAACACAACCATAGCTAAAAGCTAAATGAGTTTAACAATACAAAAGTAACAAGTATGATTTCAGAGACCAATGGGCCTCATGCAAGAACCGTTCGTACGCACAGATTTGTTCTTAAATTGTGCGTACGAGTGATTTAGGAGAATTTGTGGCATTCACCAATGTGTTCGTATTCTAAGATTTTTTTCAGATACGAACAAAATTTACGAGTGGTCCAGACCTGTCGTATATTTTACCAGCAGTCAGTCTGCTGTTATCCAGACGGGTTTTCCTCCCAAATAACTTTATATTTCGTTAGTTTGAAGATATTTTGAGTTGAAAATAAATCACACTCCATAATTATGTTGACAAGTTATTCTGCTTGAATTAGAGTTATAATTTTAAATGTAATAATTTAGACTAACAATATAAAATGTCCGTCTGGCCGGCTTACCCGCTATCGGGTGCGGGGGCAGCAGCAGAGAGACCCCGCGCTCTCCCCAGTGACACCTTCCAGCTCGTCCTGGGGGACTCCGAGACGTTCCCAGGCCAGAGGGGATATATGATCAAGTCCTGGATTTTCTCCAAAGTGCCAGACATATTTTGAAAACATTTTAAAATGCTTATTTCAGAACCYCAACTGAGACCACTTGAGACTGCGCGCGCGCGGGGAGGGGGSGGGMGTACGGTGCACAGTGCTGTGTCTTCTGAATAAATGAAAATGATTTAACACAGTTGTTTATACTTTTAGCAGCTCTTTTTATTCCACAGCTGACTTGCTAAAAATGACAGATTTTCTTTTCTGAATCTCTGACAGCAGGACTTCAATCTCTGAACTCGTAAAGTTCTTCTTTTTAACTTTCGCCGTCATTTTTATGAATGGACACTTCCTTGTATCTGAGGCAGGAAACACAGCCTTATATGGTGTTTTTGGGGTGGTAATTATGCTAATCTCTCGCGTGCACGAGCAGCTGGATACGAACAGGTGGAATTTACACAGCTCATTTACACACTTTTCCTGAAGATAGAAGAGTTTGTTGAATCTAACGTGGCATGTTCGTACGAACCCTTCATACGAACAAAAGTAAGAGAAATTTAGGATAAGAATATGAACATGTTCTTGCATGAGGCCCATTGTTTTTAAGAGAATTGAAGAGATCTCATTTTTATGAGGAAACATTTCATAAATAAAGTCAAATAATTTGAAAATATAAACGGTAAACAGTGAAAGTCATGGAATACAACCACTAACTTTTTATATGAATGACTTTAGGTTAAAAAATTTTAATTGCCAACATTAAGTAGTATACTTTAAAACAACAGTTTCTGAACTTGTGTTCTTGTGCAACAATAAGAAATGGCTTCACTAACATAAATAATGTGAACATCTAGTGGCATATCGATAGGTGATGTCACATAAAAACTGTATGCTTCTTAATGTTTGGGGTTGGATGTGTGTTAGTGGGTTGGATGTGTGTTAGTGGGTTGGATGTGTGTTAGTGGGTTGGATGTGTGTTAGTGGTGGAAACTTTCTCAACCTTGTGGTTTTAGCATCTGTAGGGCACAGCTAACTGTGGCAGGGAAGTTACTGTACAGCATGTGAAAATGAGGGGTTCCAGTTTGTAGGCTATATTTAAATACTATTGCAACATACAGTGTGATGGCAGAAATGACACATGGTGCATTAAGGTTTTTTTTACAGCATTGGACCTAATTACCGTTCTGAAGACAAAAAACAAGAAAGCCAGAAGTGAAGGCATACAACAAAAGCATTTTAGTGAGGGTGGTCCAGTAAAAGTGAAAACCCCCTCCACCCTTGCTCTTTTCTAAAAGTCTATGAATAAACATGGATTCATTCTGACCACATATTATGGGTTGGTACTTGCCGATGGTTTCTTTTTTGGCTCAAAGTTTATATAAATGCAGATGCAAGCCCCACATCACTGCAGTTTGCTGAAAAGGCCAGAGATTTTCCAACCATGCTCCCATTCTGTTAATCCAGCTGCCTTCACATGGACCTTCTCTGGGATTGGTCCCAGATTTGATTTGAGTCCAGAGAAACTATTTAGCTTTTTCACAGACATGTTCCCATTGCTGCTGGCACAGTGTGACCCTCAGGAAATGACGAAGAATTGTGACTGTAACAATGCCACTGGAGCCATGCCAGACCACAACTGTTCAACCACACGAAACATTCCTCTGAGTTAATAACCACACACACGGGAAGATCTCCACTGTTTAATGGTTTGGTCTGAGAGACAGTACAGTCTGAGCTTTGTTTGGGGAAAAACTGTACGCAGCTAAATGTGTGGCATTGTGAAAAGAAAAGGAATGAGATTTTGTGCATTTTAGTTCACGAGTTGTATGTTTTCTGTACTCAGGCTCTGGTTTTCCTTCAGAAAGTTATTGTTTTAGTCTGAAGGATGTCTTGAAGGCTCAAAACCACTGCTAATTTTTTTTTTGCTTCCACTTCATCACATCTGTTTTAAAGAGTCATCTTCTTGCTGCCAGCCCTGCCCATCCTTCCTGGAAGTGAAGTCATAACAGAAGGATCAGAACAAAAGATGGCCTCGCTCGTTCTAACCCAACTCTAAGAACAAACTGAATAAACTCTTTTTTTCATTTTTACACAAGACAATGATAAATGCAACAAGACAATGATAAATGCAACAAAGAAGCCACAAATGTTGGAGACAAAAATTCAACTTGAACAGTTTTACTGAAGACAGGCTGGTAATATGAGATTATTTTAAAAAAATGTGTTTTTTGTTGGGGAGGGGGAGAGTAAGAAAACTATTTTTATTAAAAGCTTTAACTTCTCACTACTACTTTAAAATAGCCCATGTGACTAACAAAGAATTGCGCCGCTCACCTTAAGCTGAAATTTGGGTTATCTGAACTTTACTTGAGTAATTACTTTTCAGCTGACTTTTTACTTTACATGGTCTTCTTACATTTTCATGCAGTAATATGTGCTTTCTAAACCTTACATTTTTTAAAAAGTAGAAAGTCGTTACTCACATTTCATTCTGCCCTGTCTAGCCAAACACATGGCACCTTCCAGACAAAGTGAATTTAACTGCGGTTGGATGAGAAGTATAAATATTTAACATTTTATATAACATCTGTAGGGGTCACCCTGGTGAAAAAAAACTTTTCTATTGTTTTTTTCTTTGTCTTTGATTTTATTTTTTTTTTACACTTATAAGAAGAAAATCATTTTAAAGTGTTTTTATTTTCTTTAAGTGAATAGGACAAAGTCCTATATATA